AATCAGAAAAGTTCTGTTCTAAAACTACAATGAAATGAAAATAATGTGGGCTAAACAAGCTTGTTCTGAACCACTATACGTATCTGTTCACTACGCCGATGACGATATTAAAAATTTAGCTAACAAAGTTCTCAGTGACAAATTCATAAACGAGTGGAGCACCTACAACCATCATTACAAATATTTTAATATATCAGGGACAAAACCAGCCTATCCTATGTATCCATATACCAGGAGTATAAGAACATTTATGCGTCTTCGCATTGGGTACACACTCGCTACTGATGGACATCTTTTGAAAGGCCTACCTAAACCAAGCTGTCCGCATTGTGGTTGAACTGAATTCAATGTTATCCATATCCTTGACAACTGCCCAAACTCACAAGAAATAAGAAGTGAAATATTCAACAATTCTAAGCCATCTGATCATCTTAAACTCCCCAGGTACCGTAGCATTAAACTAATTGCAAAATTTATATCACTTTGTAAAATAAACATTTAATTAAAAAAAGAAAAAAGTAAAAAAAGAGAAAAAAACATTACTACATATAATATATATTATTGCTTTTTCCTTTTTTTGCTACGTTTTCATGTAGAATAAATTTCTATTATTGATACATCCATAAAATTATATTGTATATTTATCTAACCTTAGTTTAATATAAGCCGAAGGCCCTGGCAGCCAGTGCTTTAGTTTGTAAGTGGATTAATTAGTAATAATTGTTTCTCTTTTAAATATATTATATAAATAAATAAAATCAAAAAACTTACCACAGTCATTCGACTGTTTTTTGAGCAAAAAATTAATAAAGATCCAATTATCTATCTGGGCTATGTACGAAAGTTAAGAGCGAACGAGCTTTCTAAAACAGGAAAATCGTGATTCATTCCTATCTTTTCAGTCCTGAGCGCCAATAAAGGCAATAAACATTTGGCTTTCAATGCGAAGCGAATTTTCCATGCCACATCAGGGCAAACCGAACTGAGTGACAAATGCCTAGAAGAGTCGGCGGATGGCAGTGAAAAGGTCCTTGGAATGCGGTGTCGACGCAGTTCCTTTACGAATCAAACTGTACCACTGAAAAGGGAAATCTTAAGTGCAGTAATGATGATTTGATTCTATTCGTACTGCAGGACATATGGAGGTCAGAGGTTACCTGGGATGAAGCCATAAATGAAAAAAAAACGCATCGCGTGGTGGCAGTGGGTACGCAAACTTAAATTACTTCATAATGTGTGTGCTCCAAGATGCTACATGAACATAAGAGCCGCAAAATTTTGAAATTCATGTTTTTGTTGATTCAAGTTTACTCGCTTACTCAGCCGTAGCTTATTTGCGGCCAGAGATTCCGTGGGTGTTCATACCTCCCGCTGCTCTACATATGGGAGGAGCGTGGCAACGCATGGGGTGCATCATCAAATCATTCGTGATGAGTATCTTGGCGGATAATTGTATTCGAGAGGAAGCCATACGGGTAGCGATGATAGAGGCAGAAAGCACGGGTAATATGCTGGCGCTGACATACACTCCGATTGAATCATCAGATCACGAAGCCTTAACGCTAACTTATTTCTTACTTGGCTTGTTGACTAGGCCTGTTATGAAGCCGGCGCGAGTTGGCGTTGAAGTTGCCAACCCCATTGCACAGCAGGAAGTTTTCGAGGAGGGGTGTTAACGCACGAGATTTAAGGATTATTGTAAAATATTAGGCAATGCCGATTATGGTTATTGTCTCCACTGACGGCGAAATTATTTGACATTCTCTAAGCATGTTATTTGTTATTTGTTATTTTTTCTCATGATATGCATGGGGAATATGATATCATTTCGCCTTGACCTTTGCTGAAATTCATTTCGAAAACGAACTAATTCGCCTATATTACTTGCATTCGGTAGCTATGTACGCCTTTACATCTGTCTCACACTTTCTTTTCATTTTGATCGTTGGTGGAGAAGGCACCATAATCTTGCAGGCAAAAATGTAAGTAAGCTCAAACGAGCTGTTTCGTTGAACCAGAGGGAGATGAGTTGGTTTGAGAGAGCATGTGAAGAGGTAGTTAGTGTCGTGCGGAGACTCTCCACATGCAGGGCATACGTTGGGTATACTGGGGTCTAGTCTGGATAAGTAAGAGTTTAACCTGCTTCAATATCAGGGTCACTCGGGTCTCTCCAGGCAGCTCGAGCTAGTTGTCTGCTATATGTGGTGGTTATTCTCCGATCTCGCCACTCACTGAAAGGGAGTCCTTGAAGGTGTTGACTGACTCCAGGTGAATGGCGCTCAGTGCTTGTCTGTAGCCGTCCTGTCCAGCGGTTGTTGCACATATTGCTGGATTGTGTCCTTTAACTCTAGTACTCCCTTTCTGATGTGCCTAGGTGGAGGTTCAGCTTCTATTAGGTGCCTACTGGCGTGCTCCCTACGGTAGCATTCCAATAGGAACTGCTTACACAGCAAAGCGTGATGCTGCTTAACTTGTAGCATAGATGCTACGCTGTGCAAGTGATGCTCCGGCGACATCAAGAGGTTTCCTGTCGCGGTCCTGAGGGCGGTGTTCTGGGAAGCCTGTAGCTTCTTCAACTGCGTCTCGTTCGTCCCCGGTGCCCAGATCGATGCAGCATAGATTATGACCGGTCGGCCAATTGCTTTATAAGTAGCCAGCAAAGTTTCTTTGTCTTTACCCCAAGTGCTGCCGGCTAGCGCTTTGAGTATTTTGTTGCGGCTCTAATGTTTTGCGGCAATTGCGGTTGAGTGGTGCAGGCTGTCTAGTGTTATGCTGCAACTATCCAACGCACGTACCATCCGTCCATAGTAACCTATCTTATGAGAGCGCCATGTAAACACAAAGTTGTCACCGCTTGCCCATACCGTTAGTGACGGTTGTTCCGCAGAAACCAACGAAGTTTTGATTTTTTCCGTAAAACCGGCTCGGCTCATTTTTCGTTGCTATACAAGGTTTGCCAGTATAGCCTTTCTTGAAGTAACATTAAATAATCGAAGATAATGCGTAGTTTTTTTCAAAAGAAATGAAAACTAAATGCGTAACTAATTATTTGTTATCATACAGATCATGTATATTTGTCTTGTTTTTATATTCAAGCATACAAATTTTGAAATTCGTTGACGAAAATTATGAATTCTTTCAAAAGTGTGCAATCTCGCCTTTTCGTCGCCACTTATGGACGGCTGGTAAGTGAAATGGGTAGTTGCAACCTTACTTCCAATATTTTTGGGTTATTTACCGTCGGATTTTTTGTGTCATCAACCTTCACATCTTGTTCAAGCCTGTATTCCATCGTCCAGCTGGTGAAAAGGATAGCCGAGGATTTGGTCGGTTGTATTTTGTCTTGTAGTGAAGAAGTGGGAGAGATCAACGAGGTAGCCGTTCACATTCGAGACGCCATTATCGTGCAATCATCCGCATACGAGGTTAGGGAAACTCCTTCTGGTGGAGGAGGGAGTTCCGAAACCTAAAAAGCGGGGCAAAGACACCACCCTGCAGAACCCCCTGTTTAATTTTTCTGAGCTTCGATGTTTCACCTCAGAATATTACCGATGATTGTCGACCACTCAGGTAGCCCAAGACCCACCTCTGCAACCCCGGCGGTAATGAGGAAAACTTTTGACAAATCCAGTGCTACCAGGACAGTTCGCGCGTGGGGTCGGTTTTGGTAAAGACCATTGACTATCTGGGTGTTTATGGCATTTAGTGCTGTCGTGGTGCTGTGCACTTTACGGAAGCCATGCTGATGCGCTGCTGGATGCAGATGGTGAGTGAAAGTCGGGAGCAGTAAGGCCTCAAGTGTATTCGCTACTGGGGAGAGGAGAGTTATCGGCCCATAGCACTCTTCTTTGTTGGCTGGTTTCCCCGGTTTGAGTAGCGGGACCACCCTTCCCATTTTCCACACGGCGGGTATCATAAGAGTGGTCAAAGACAAATTGAGGACCCTCGTGAGAAATTCTGCTCCCTCTGGTCATAAGTGTTTGAGCATCAGCAAGCTTATTGGGTTTGGAGGCTTTCGCCTTCCCGATGACCCCCTGACTTTGCGCATACGGCGGGTTACACGTCGCATCGCTTTGTTTACCGAGGGATGTAGTGTGAAGAGTCGGCAAAAATAGCTCGCGCATCTCTTTGGGTCCGACGAGGCACGATCACCTAATGAAATTTCCACCCTGGAGACTGAAGGTCCTAAGTCCCACTCGATTGGACACTGGCAGTATGAGCCACATAACTCGTGGTCCATTCCCTGTAAGTATTAAGTCCGGAGCACGTCTTAAGGTGACTCCAACCATTAAACTGGTTGCATCTAACCGAGAAGGAGGAGTGATGGAGTCTTTTATGACACAAGCAGCAAAAATAGTCCGCCGGACCAAGGTTGGTTTCGACACCAGCCCTGAAAGAAGGACTTGGAGCAACCCAGCTGCAAGGTGTTGGTAATGTTACCTGTTGACCTAAGCGGGGTTAGGTCGCCGAAAGGGTGACAGCTCTTGGCCGGATAAAATCCGAGTCAACTCCGGTGCATAGAACCGGCTGTCGTGACCACCAATGCAAGAACTTTACTAGAGTCCCACGCCAGAAAATGTGGGATCATAAAGACTTTTTTGAAATTACACGTACATGTACAAATTGCGAAAACTGCAGGTAAAAGTTGTTTGTTTTTATGTAGGTTAGTCATTAGACTAATTTATACTAATTTATACTAATTTTACTAATTCACTTCCTTAAATGCCAATTCATATCTTAAATGAAAATCGCTACTTTCCTAACCGGTTTCTCAAAGTTCCTAGTCTATGTACGTACATACTCTAGAGAGGTCGCTGATCCTAACGCTAGTTGTAATTGGTATATATATGCTACGTAATATATAAAAAGGGAATTTATCTAAAGATGGGAGCACATCATTCTTATTGCGTGCTATAAGCGAATATGATAACCAATGAATCTGATAACCAACATATGGTTACATATATATATAGTTATGTGAAATATACATAGCGTATGCAAGCAAATAAGTTAACGGAAAAATAAATTTGCAAATAAATTTCATATTAAAGCATATGATTAGCTCAGCATTAAGTATGAAATATATCAATGTTTCGGTTAGCAAATACATGGGCTGCAAAAAGGTGACCCACAATGGCATTTTATTACTTAAGATAAAGTCCACTTCATCGGCGGAGCAACCTTATTGATAAACGCTACAACCTCACCTACTTCGAAATTGCATGAAGGGTGAAACCATTTATTTAAAAGTTATATGCCTTTCAAAAGTGTGCAAGTGTGTGTACGAGAAAGTCGTGTGTTAAATAGAACTAAAACGGCTCATAATAAAATATTTAACCAAAGTGATTTCCGATGAATTGTACGGAAAATACGCGGAAACCCCCACTTAATTGCTCCATCTTTAGCTAAAGAAGTGTTAATATATCTTGGAAAAAGCTGTAAACCAGAAACCATACGAAGAATCCTCAGAGAAGCAGATTTCAAAATATACCATGTGTCAGTGCTAAAACTCGGAGTGCAAGGCTGAAGTTTGCAAAGGACCATTTTTATAAAGGTGAAAGTTTCTAGGACACCGTAAATTTCGCAGACGGAAGTAAATTCAATCTGTTTAGACCAGATGGAGACAGCTATGTATGAAGAAAACCAAATGCTGCGTTACAACCGCAAAATTTACATATCACTGTAAAACATGATGGACGGCATGTAATGGTGTGGGACACATGTCGTCTTCTTTAGTTGGAAATTAGGATTTCATTATTAGTACCATGGATAATACTGTGTATTTGGACATTTTAAAATGAAATTTGTTGCAAAGTGCCTCAAAATTAAATATTCGTGACAAGTTTCGGTACAATCAGGATAATGATCCGAAACACAAATGAGACATTGTGCAAAGTTGGCTTATTTGAAACTGTCCGTACATAGTACAAACCCCAGCGCAGTATCCAGATTTGAATGTGATTAAGAATCTGTGGTCAGCTTTGGAACAAGAGAATCGAAAATATGAGATTCGAAATCAAACCGACTTTAAAAAAGACCTATGCACAGAATGGAGCAATATTACTCACGACTCCACGAAGAAGTCAGTGGCAGCAGTCATAGACAGCATGGGGTGTCCTACTAAATATTAATTAACATAAAATTTTAGTTTTGTCCTTTAAAAAAGGAGCTTATCAATATTTTGTTACTGCATGACTTTCGCTGTGAGGTAAAATTTAATACTAAAGTTTGTTTTTCTGGTTAATTACATAAAATATATATAAATAAATATATTTTAAAGCATAAATGAAATGTGTACATCTGCCGCTATTCACTGGCATTTATGTTTTTTGGAAAATGTATTTAATTTTCTATTTCCTATTTCCTACATAGCTGCATCACCTTGGCTGTGAACCACTGTATAACTTACGAGTTTACTTTCTTGAGTGTTTGATTACTAAAACCCAACATCCATTCTTATAGTTTGCTCCTACCTTCAAAGATTTAGACTCCAGAAATCTTACTTATCTAGACTCAGCCTTGCAAAATAATTATACTCGTATGAATAGTTGCCTAAATAATTTTTGTTTATTGATATAATATAGAACGCTTACTCTATTTAGTTTTTGGTGCGGGGCAACTTATTTAGGTACTTTTCTGTATGAGGTACGATAATCGTTTACCCAAAAGCAACACTGTTGCAAAATAATATTAACGCATCGCAGTAATACTTGAAGCTCTTATAGTTGGTAAAGAAAACTTTATCTAATGTAGTGTCTCATATTAACATAATTGTTGTTCTTTTCCGTAACAGATTTTTCGGCAATTATTTAAAGACGTTGAAAATAAACAAAGTTAATAAGTATTGAAAGCATCATATCTGTAATCCAATTATACTTAAAAAGATTTGGATACCCGTATGAGTATTTCAATGTCAATCATCATATAAAGGATTTTATTCTTTAAACTATCTAAACTCAAAAACAATACTTATAACTAATATTTTGTTAGCAATCGCGTTTTTTTGGATATGAATCTAAATGAGATACTTGTAAAGAAAAAATGTAAATGCTTACAAACAAAGCGCACGCCGACAATATATGGTGTTGTAAGATTGTTCAACAGCGTGATATGAATTGTGGAAGGTGACTGCTTGATGGCCAATGGTAATTTGAGTGTATCTATTTATGTGTACAAATTCTATTCGTCAAAACTCAGATTTCCTAATGGGAAAACCCTTGTTTATTTTCTTTCATAACCTATACGTATTTAACTTATACATATGTATCTGTATAAAATAAACAAATTTAGAGCATTAGTAGCGTTGACAAATCCAAATTAACTTTTGTAAAGTAGAATTCAAGTTTAAAATAAAGAAAACAACTACCTATCTTTATGTTTTCAATTATACCGTGAAACAAAGCTTTGCATACAGTTTTGTTAAAATTATTTTTAACATCTTATATCTTTTCATTTATGTACATGTTCTTAAATCTGCTTCTATGAATTGATATCTGAAACACCAACTCTCCTATTATGGGTTTGTGCACTTGAAAAGATTTAACTGGCATTTCACTTTGATAAAAAAATATGAAAGTGGACTATTAAATAGTCTATTTCATTCATTGACTTATCAAAATTCTAATAATCTACATAGGAATGTACATACATACATGTATATTCATAATATTTCAGAGATGCTCAAATAACGAAACGATGTCATATTGTTTTGTTAATATGAAAAATAAACTTACCGAAATGATTTGGTTTCGTTTCGGCGCCATGTTATCGAATCGGAATGAATTGTTAATTGTTAACGATCATTTTAAAAGGACTACTTGCGATGTTATAATCAGAACACTTCAAATTCAACTTTCACCATTACCTGTTAACGATTTAACAATAACGACAGCATTTCGTTTCAGGTATATAAATAAAATTTTTAATTGGTTTTTGCGGTTTTAATTTTGTCATACGTTTTTAGTGAGCGAAAGGCCTGGTTTGTTTGTACAATATAAATTAAATATTTTGTTACACAACAAAAAAATTGACAAGAGTAACAAACTTTGTTTTTATCCGGATCGAATGACGTAAAACATAAAAATTATTGATTTATTTACTTTCTTTTTAGGAAAAGAACTATCACTATCGAAATCGGTATCTTTATATAATTTCGATTTATTGATGTGATATCCGGCCCGATTTCTGGTTCGTAATTAGTTTGACTGCAAAATACAATATATTTTGGGATATTTTTCAAGATGATAATGCTGTTGATCAATGTGATATATTTTCAACTGCTTAAGGCATTAAATTTTGTATACATCACATTGCCGAAAATCATTAAAAACGGAACAGAAAAGGCGATCGAGTTTACGTGGATTGAAGTAATATCGAAAACTGAATGCAATTGTGTTTTATATTATTTTAACCGAAGATTTGCTATAAAGTATTATACACTGACTAGCCGTAAAGTTTCTACTTCACATTTTCTTCTCCTCTACTTTTTGAGCAACATTTTGTGCGCAGCAGCCTTACCACCAGTGATTCGCTTAGGTAAGATGCTTATCCATATACAACATTATTTATAAATACAATTTTTGAAACACAAATAGCACGCTTAATTTAATTTAATTTATAAAAGAATAGGCACAATTGTTGACATATTAAGCTATCTTTTATTAGATGTATACATTAATTCGTGCGGTTTTTTAAGAGAGGGCTCTACTAGTATTATTTCGCGTTATTGGCTATATTCATTTCAAAGGTACTGTCATTTCGCGTCATTTCAGTAGATGTCATTTGTTTTAGCTTGAACAACAATTTGTTTCATCCATTTGAAAATGTCGAAAGTTGTACCAGGTAAAGTGTTTTTGCAGGGAGTTCTTCTTCATTATGTTAACATGAAGAAAATTGCTACCGAAAGCCATCGCATTTTACTGGATGTTTATGGTGACCATGCTTTAGCCGAATGCACGTACCAAAAGTGGTTTGCACGGTTTAAAAGTGACAATTTCGACTTAGAAGACGGACAGCCAAAAAAATTTCAGACATTACTCGGTGCAGATGCATACCAGACACGAGAAGAACGTGCAAAAGTTAGGATTTGATCAAGCACGAATTAATACATATACCTCATAATTACGCAGATTTTGATAAACATTAAACTTAAATATTGGCGGCCGCAGTAGCCGTACTTCCTATGAGAATGGTAACGGGCACGAACTCTTGGTATACCAACATTCAAAATTATAGAGAAACAATTTGAATACGAAATTAAGTTAATTTGCCACCGTGCTCCTGACATGAAGCAAAACTTTCTCATAATAACCTATTAACTGCTCGGAGGCGGCTTACAATAAATTGTAGGTCTATTTGTTGGAAAACAATTAAGACGCCCAACGGCTATAAAAGCCTTTATTCACTTCTTAAGGAATGAGCAAACTTTATATAAAAAACAATTAAGTTCATGGTTAAGAGAATTTTAGCTGTTATGTGTTAAATAGTATGCTGCTCTTAAGTTAGAAAATCAATTACGTCATTCCTTTTTTCTATAAATTTTCCCCTTTTCATAAAAAAACTCATGTGATATCCCGTGCGAACTTAGCCAATTATATGTACAAACTTCTTAACATGCGCCTCCTTGCACTTTTTCTATCATCTTTAATGATTTCTACACGTAAAATATGTCTATTTATTTTGGTTATTATTAATTTTCCCCAATTTAACAACACAAAATCAAACTTAGAAAACGAAACAGTAACAAAATTTACTGAATGGTAAATTTTACAACCAAAGTAAATTTTATTACCTTGATAGAATAGTCCTGCAAATGTAGTTTTGTTAAAATTAACTAAACGAATACAACGGTTTGGTTACCCAAAAGCTTGGTAGCAGTGAAATCAGCGCCCGTCCGCAACGCACCCTATATTGAGCAAATGGAAGTAACATTGAAGGCATATAATAAGAATATATCCTAAACTTGGTAACAGTGACTATATAGCATTTCTAAGCCTCCGAAAGTGTCCACGATGCACAAAATTAAATGAAAAAGAAAGCTATTTCAAATATAACTGAATTTTAGTCAAAAATAATTGAATGTCTATACTTTCCGGCTTATACGGAAAAAGGCTTCCAAATTCATTATAGTCTGAATCAATACTCCTGTAAATTCAAGCTACAAATTGTTTCATATAAATCTTCGTATTTTCCGAGGACTGTCACAAAAAACACATTGGCGAATATGAAGAATATAAAATTTCATCACCGATGAAATACAATAAATTTCTAGAGGGTTGAGAGAACGCGTAATATTAAGAAGATGTACGTTTGGATGTCTCTTATTACGCATAACTAATAGAGCAGATTCTATCAGACTGAGTTCTGATATTGCAGCCAGCTACTTGCGGTAGTCTATGAGATAAACGCAGCATAACATATGCTTTGTATATTTTCCATACTGGTTGTTTGACATTTCATGGAATGGAATGGTAGGCCGTAGATTGCTTTTTGACGCAGTTCTGATTAAACAAATCGATGCACTGGAGTTATATTCAGTGGTCGTCCGATTTCGATGATTTCCAGAACCAATTTGTTCTTCATTATATGTATATGTGTATAAAACCACATTTCTTGCTCTTAGCATGCCTAAGTTACCTTCACCAGCCATTCTGATAAAGTCCGTTTAAATTTTTATGTATCTATCTCTTCTTCTGTTACTTACATACATGCATACTGCGGACCGCAGTTAATATACCATTTCATGTACATGAGAGGGATAAAATATAATTTCAAATTTTTTTTATATAATAGTAGTAATTTTTTGAGTAGCAGTTTGCTTGTTTCAAAAAGTATACCAATACGTTTTTTGTTATGAAGAATCTGCTTGGTTGAGCCTTGCCTGGCAAGTTCGTCTTACAATTTCGCTCTATGTCCCTATGACCAGGAACTCAAATGAGGGGTAATCTGTTCTGCATATGCATACAAGTCGTACAAATTGTGATAAAATTCAACTTTAAGTGCACATCCCCAAACCTACAATCAAAGGTAAGTTCTAGCACTTCAACCTTTGTTCTCCTGTCAATAGTTCATTTGGTACTTTCGTAAATTCAAGTTAAAGAAAAAATAAGTTTTCTAATGGCCGCCAGTGCATTCCCAGAATAATTGCCGTTAGCGAGTCGTTAGACAAAATGCTCATAGAAGCATTAGTGGGATTCAGCGGTGCTGACTCATCTCTAAGCGCTTTACAAAGCTTCTCCGAGTTAAACAGACTTTCGCAACCCAAAGCCGGCATAACTATGAATTTCTTTAACCGCATTCGAAATATTTATAGCATTTTCCATTGTATCGAAGCTAACAACATGATTGTCAACGTAGTGGCAGGACATCAGGGCCTTTTATTAAAAGTGAATCAAATGAAATATTTTTTATAGATGTAGCAGCATCAAAATCTAAGTGCAATATATTTATACTATGTATTAGGTTTTAGCTCTAATGCTTCTGCCATATGATTTGTTTACAGATTAATTTAATCTTTATACCACTTTTCAAAATTACTATCTCTAACAATCTTAACTTCAATAGTTTTTAGAAGACGCAACGCCATACTATTGGTTTCACAAAAACGAATTTAATTAGCTCGCCACAACAACCCTGTTTCATAGTGACATCCAATATGCTTATTCGTCTCTTCATTTTATCAATGGTTTTGGAAAAAATACTCTGCTATTTGCTTTTGAATGTTATCAACCACATCTTGATCACAGTCTATACGGCATAAAAACTTCTTCTTTAGTGTCTTCATTTGATCCTAACAAAATGCATACTAAGTTTGACCTGTGGACAGGAATGCCACTGGACGCACCAAATATAATGCGGCATGCCGATGAGGATTTGTGCCACACGAACTAACGGAAAAATAAAAACAAAATGGACCGAATGTTCATCTGTGAATCGCTGCTGAATTCCAACAAAATAGACCCGTTTCCGAAGCGGATTGTGACTGGTGATGCAAAATGGGTCACTTACGACAACATCGAGCGCAAATGGTTGTGGTCGAAGCTCGGGGAAGCGGCCCAGTCGCTGGCCTAGACCGGATTGACGGCCAGGAAGGTTTTGCAGTGCGTTTGGCAGGATTGGCAAAGAATCATCTACTCTCCCTATGGTCAAACGCTCAATTCAGCCTTCTACTGCCAATAAATGGGCCGCTTGAAGGCAGCACTAATCCAGAAGAGGTCATCTTTGATCAGCAAAGGCCGAATTGTGTTCCATCAGGACAACGCCAGGCCACATACTTCTTTGGTGATGCGCCAGAAGCTTCAGGATCTCGGATGGGAGGACCTATTGCACAACAAAACGGCGCATATGTGACTTAAATTGGACAAATGTACACAACATAATATGTATATATATATATTTTTTTTGAAAAATCAATAAAAAAAACTGAATGAACTTTTTACTTTTATTTACGCTACCTATAAGCAGCTGCGGTGTTCTAAAATGAAATTCACTTGATGGGTGAACCCACAAAGATTCGTTTTATAAATGGAATAATATTTCTAGATCTATGCACATGTTTATTGCTGTTGATTCTTTAAAAGATGTCAAGATTTTCGAGCATTGATCCAGTAAATTCTGAAAGGTCGCGCGTTAAAGTTTATTGGAGCAAATAATTTGACTACGTAGTTAGCAGTCCGGAATGTGACTAGTGGCAAATGATGGATTTAATCTATACTGATAGGTCGCATTATTATTTATATTTACATGTATAAAGGTTATTGCGAGTTAAATTTATTTTACAGTTTACAAAATTTTTTTCTTTGGCGTTCGTAACGTCGGCGAAGATGAAGTAGGCTGACCGTGCATTACAACGTGTTGCATTAATAGCTCTGGCGAAATATGAATCACCAAGAACTTTGCCTTTGGAAAAGGTATCGTAGTTAATTAGGTATCACTTTGCAAGGATTACCGTTGGCAAAGGCATTACTTTTGGTAGTTTGATCCACAAAATTAATGTAAGTAGCGGCAGCGTCGGCAAAGCTACGGCTGAATGTACAGCAATTAGCAGATAATACGTCGCTGAGGTGACGTTGGCAGAGTTAGCAAAGATCGTGTCGGCAGAGGTGACACTGGCAGAAACAACATCAGCATAACTGTTAATGAGCCATGAGGGCGGGCAGAACCATCGCTTACAGAAGTGGTATTCACCGCATAAGAAAGAAAGAGTTTTAATATATAAAAATAGTTCCATGTGGTATTACATAAGTGAAATTGAAATAGATTTGAGTAATGATCTTACTTAATTGTATGATTCCTTCAAACGTTCCATTCAAAATGAAGTCGAAAAAAACGGTATACAGTTTTAAAGAAATCTAACGCTTCAGTTGCGATATTAATACAATATATATCAACTCAGCTCAGCTTATATAATGTTGACAAAGTAGCTAAAGAAAAAATTAATATAATAGTTTGGGCAATAATACCTTCTGTAAGTCGGCGTATCATTTTATAAAATTTTGGAGCAGTTCTGTTGACGGCCAGCTTTTCAAGCTCGTGGTATTTTTCTTCACAAGTGGTTCCTCCACTAACAAATATAAGGGGAACGGAATGCTTTTTGCTGATACTCCATATAACGGGGTGTCGCCTTTCTCTTTATACGGAGAAGAGAAAGTTATCCCAGTGCACTTGGTGTTATGGTGGGCGCTGTACAACTCGGTCTTATTGGATAATGGGGCGGCGCCAATTATTGGGACCCAATACACACTCGTACAAGAAAATAATTTGTCAGACATATTTGTCAGGCAAAACATATTGAGAAGGCAGTCGAAGCGTAATTTTTGTGTAGCAGCTTAGTGTCGCATTTGTGGATATTCGTGGAGCTGAAGTTGGACGACATAACCAGAGGAGAAACCCAAGTCGGGACGCACATCTGACTGAACGAACATAAGTATCTGTTTGTTTGTTTGTTGTTTGCCGATAGTGTTCCTTTCTTCGTTACGTCCTACAAATCCTTATATCAGCTCGCGCCCAGAGCCCAGTCATATATACGGGTTGAAGTTACCCACGGCAATACGGAAGTAGCGCAAGTAGCCACCTTCTTTTTTGAGCGACAGTTTGTTTTGTTGACGTGTGTGGTTGTTGTTATGCTTGTTTCACGATAGACGCACGCACACAACCGCACCTGTCCAATAATTGTAATTACACTACAGTGCACTCTTAAACCGAATAAGTTGGAGTGGCTCCACTGAAGCTGCCTCTCTTTTTGCCGTGACTCAAGGCTCCACCCGGGTTGGTTAGCGCATCTTGCACATGGGTTGCTTACATTTCCATTGTGCCCGACGTGGACACAATAGTAGAAGTTGGGTATAGTCCCGCGACTGCAATTGCGTACAAAGAAGCTTGCCGACCGCAACATGTGTAGTATAGAATAGATACCAAAAACTGAAGAGGAAAGCATGACGCGATTTGCAGACAAAGAAAGAAGCCGAAATGGGTGAGTATGAAGAGCTTTAGAAGCTGACCGACAAGGGTAATGCTTGAAAAATTTATAAATAGATGCGACGGCTTACTGAAGGTTTTGAGACCGGAGCAGATTCTTGTAGGACACAACGAGGTGATCTTGTAACGGATGACCAGATTATATTGAATATATGGAGAGAACACTTCTCTAGCCTGCTGAATAGCAATCAAAATGGAATATGCGGAGATGGTGAAGATGGTGAAGATGAAACCGCAACTGATGACGATAGAAAACATTATCCATTACCAGACCATTAAGAAGTTCGAATAGCAATCGCCCGTTTGTAAACAACAAAGCGGCGGGAGCTGCCTACCGGCAAAGCTATTCGAATATGGCAAGGAAGAGCTGACAAGGTATATGCATCAACTGCTTTGCAGAATATGTACGGACATGACCGACGATTGGAAGTGAATGTGTGGTCTGCTCAATCCATAGAAAATGGAACTCCACAGCCTGCGCCAAATATCGTGGGATAAGCCTCCTAAAAATCGCATAAAAGGTTTTTTCGAGTGTATTGTGTGGAAGACTAAAGCCCATCGTCAACAAACTTATTTGACCTTTAAACCAACCCTTGACTAGATATTCACCATGCCAAATCTTGGAAAAGATTCGTGAAAAGAGGATCGACACATACCACGGATTTTAAAAGAGCCATAGGTTGCACAAACGGGAGTTGCCTCAACGCCGCTATATCATAACTTTGAAGTCGTAGATAACTTCGTCTATTTTACATCCAATATTAACACCAACAACAATGTTAGCGTTGTAATCTAACGCAAAGTCACTCTTGCCAACAGGTGGTACTTTGAATTGAGTAGGCAATTGAAAAGTGAATACATTTCTGTGGGATATGGTGCGGATGCATGGACGATGATAACATCAGATGAGCTTTGCGTAAGATTTATGTTTCTCTTTAAGTTGGGAAAGGCGAATAACACAGCCAATAGAATGATGAGCTACATGAGATGTACGAAGACAATGATATAATTCAGCGAACCAAGACCAATGTCATGTGGTCCGGGTGGATAGGATTACCCACGCTTTGAAAGTTTCTGATGCAGTACCGACGGTTGGAGCAAAGAAAGGGTGAAGACCTCTACTCCGTTGTAAAGACCAGGTTGAGAAGGACGTGGCCACAAACAGCGGAAAAAACGAAATGAATGGGGCAATGTTATAAATTCGGTGTTCAGCAGTGTCTTCACTAGAAAAAAATAGAAGAAGGTGCCCTTCGGGAAGCCAGGGTTCGAGTCCTGTTTCGACTAGCACACAAATATTATGGAAAAATTAATGTAAATAAAAAATTAATTCAATATAAAATGTAGATGCCTCTATTTGTGGGAAAAACACAATACGCACACTACAAACTTCCGCCAATATATTATTGTATATCAGGCCCATTCTGTGCACTTGATAATTTCACCATCTTTCTTATTTATCAAAATTGACAATTTTTAAAGATTTTTCTAATATAATAAAAAGCGCAAAGAAAAATTGGAAAAATAGGGATCGCTCGCGTCACTAGTTGTCCATTTTTGTTAAGTGATAAAACATTTTACAAAACTTTCTTTTGACTTGCGAAATTTGCCGTTATCTCATAGATAAGCTGGCCTCACATGATATCCGAAAAACCTAAGTGTCTTTAATCACAAAGGCGCTGGTGGCTTTAAACTTCTTTGGGTATGGCTCATACCAGAAATGTGTAGGCAACAACTTTCACTTGTCAATGAGTCAGTCGTTTCTTTCCAGAAGTTTACTTATTGTAAAGATGAAGTGAGGAGCAATAAAATTTTCCAGTTCGGCAGAGGAATAAAGTAGTGTATAAACGGGGTATGCTAATACAATTTTTTTGAAAACTCCGCATAAAAAGCACAATTGGAGCAATCGACTGCGCGCGTATTGTTGTTGTTGCTCGTCACCAAATAATATTGAACGTCCTTTTAATTAAAATTTATTTAGAGAGGGATTATACATTATCGAAGCAGAAAGTTTTGTTGTATGTATGAGCCAATGTTCAAGGTTATCCTTTAGAGCCGTTGCTTCTAATGACAGTTGAAGAACCTAAGAACTAAAGTACAACAAACTAAATGGTTCTGCCAGTATACAGTATATACGTAAAGCTGAAAGACCTACGTCCAGATATATTTCATCAGTATAATATTAAGCAATCAAAATGGAAACATTAGCACATTTGACTTCTCATATATACTATAATTATGTAATACGTAATTGTTTCCTTATTTTTCCTTTATTCTAAAATTAATGTTAGCAAAACCAGCTTATTTCTGTTTACATTTCAATGTTCACCACACGTGTGGGGAAAAGCACGAGCTTTATGTTTTATCAAGATTGACACAGAATAATAAATAAATTCTTTCTTGATAAACATCTTGATGATTTATTAATATTTTATTAATTTGCACTTGTGCATAAAAATGCTGTATATACATGTATAATATGTATAAACATTTGAAGAACACTGTATACATTGTTGTAAATACTTACTATATTTTTCTAGGTAATTTTTGAGTTCGTAACTGGCATTAGTACATTTTACTTAAATTATTGATGGCACATATACAGGTGCTATATTTACAGAAGACCAACGAGATAGTAGTGTTGAATTTTCGTTTAAGTATGCTGTGTATCGTATAAATAAGGACAAATTACTACTATCCAACACGCAACTTATTTACGATATTGAGTACGTACCTCGTGATGATTCCTTCCGAACGACTAAAAAAGTTTGCCGCCAATTGGAATTAGGAGTCAATGCAATTTTCGGACCCTCTGATCCCTTACTTGCAGCGCATGTGCAATCAATATGCGAATCTTTTGACATACCGCACATCGAGTCGCGAATAGATTATAAAGCTAGTATTAAAGAGTTCTCTATCAATCTCTATCCGTCTCAGCGTCTTATGAATTTAGCTCATAGAGACTTGATGGTATTTTTAAATTGGACGAAAACTGCAATCATCTACGAAGATGATTTTGGTATGTATGAGCAATTTTGTATACGATAGCTACATATGTATTATGCAAAACAAATGTTATTTTTTTCAAAGGCCTTTTCAATCAACAGGATCTGATACGTGCAACGACAGATCTGAAGATAGAAATATATATACGGCAGGCTTCACCAGAAACATATAGACGAGTTTTACGTGCTATTCGTCAAAAGGAAATTTACAAAATAATCGTAGATACAAATCCAGCATATATAAACTCTTTTTTTCGGACCGTAAGAATTAATAGCAACGCAATAAAATTTATAAAAGTACATATGTATATGTATGCACATATGATTCTTTTCAGATTCTTCAACTGCAGATGAATGACTATCGGTACCATTACATGTTTACAACGTTTGTAAGTTTTTTCTTTTACCATACCAAATCTTAAAAAAAAAAAAATTTCGAAACAACCTATAAGAATACCATAAAATTATTTGCAACCAACAACATGGATAAAATAATTATTTTTTTAAGTAGGCTCTTTTTGCCATTTCCTCTGCCTACTTGATTGCGATTGCAAGTATAGAGACGTCATTTTTATTTTATATAAAGGGGCAATGCTCTGTTGCTTTTTATTATTATTTTGTGTGATTGTCACTGTAGAATTTATAGTTCATTTTTAAAAAAGATCATGATGTTTTATGTGTTTAGGAATTACTACTTTTTGAATTTTTACAATATTTACATGCTTATAAGCTGACTGGTTTTAAGTTCCAGTGAGAGAGATGAATGTAGATGTAATTTTTACTTCTCCTTGCCCTCAAAATTTTCTGTGTATTTACTGTGTGTTATTGTCGCTTGGGACTCTTATTTCAATTAGTTGTGTGGTTCTCGGTTTTATTTATTTTATTTGTTAGAACTGCCCGGTCTATTGCATATTATTGGGTTGTCTATGTATATGGTTCTCTTCAAATATAGTCCATAACTTCCGTTTCCTATTATTTATTCGGATGTTTATTGATAGTAGGGTAATTACGGGTTACCGCATGTTGCGTGGGCTAGGGCATTTAGTTGCTTTTATAATATATTTTGTGTGGTTTCTAGTTACTATCACATGATTTAGAACTGCTAACATGAACCCTTTTGCTTCTGGCTGGAGCTTCCTTTTCTTAAGCCTTCCTTATTACTAGCGATATGCTTTGCTCTAGCTCACGACCTACTAAAGAACACCCAACTGGATTATTTTCAACTGTAAGTGTGAGTTATTCCGAAGAATCTTTGGTAAATAAAAATATTTAGCTAAAAATAATAATAATTGTGATCTGAGCGGTACTTTTCTACAGATTGCGTCAGTATGTAAACGAAATAATAGCAACCATATTTGCAAGTTCCAGCTCATCCACTGAAATCAAAAATTATTATAAGATGTGTTCCTACTTTGAAAGTACTCTCGGTTTGTTTCACCATGTAAAGATTAGGGAAGTTGAATCCAAAGTCAATGAAAATTCAACGAAAGATATACTTCAACACGTATGCTAGTTGAAAATGCATTTGGACTGTTGAAAGGGGACTACTAATTGCAGAACGAGCAAATTTGAGGATTTTCACCAACATCCAATTCAGTTTATGTATTGCACGTCATACAAAAATTGAACTGATTTTGATGAGTTTATGGGATGCCAATTAAGAAAACGACAGGACGAAGAAATATCCTTGTGTTCTTGAAGATGAAATTGCACAGTCAAACTTTGTTGCAAACTTTGCTACAATACGATAATTTTTGTTTAAAATTCACATCTGTACTGCAAATCTTTAACTCTTATCGACACGATTTGTCGGATCACAAGCTATGACGCTTGCACTAACAAGTATGTGATTTTCTAACTCAGTTTTTGCTATAAACGACAACGGATATATCCATTTTATTAAGTTGGAGGAAAGGTGGCCACAGCTTAACAAAATGTTAAAATATGCGAAAATTACAAAGAGAAATAACAAAAACAAATAAATTTGTTATGACATTTTTTTTATTACATGAATTGCATTGCATTACAAAGTTGATCAAATCAAAAACACTTTCAGAACTGCGCTGCCTGATTATTCGCTTTGTAAAGGAACTCCAAATAAAAGAAGCGTACTTGGCATTTACCACCAAAGTATAAGGATCCCATATCTATGTAAAAAAAATAATGAACTTTTTTTACTACAATAGTAATTGAAAGCAAATTTTATCGCACCATTTGCACATACATAGATAGAATGGTATTGGACACATGAGTGCAATCAATAGCCCCAAGAGGGCCTCCAACAAATGAACACGATACAGAGGCAGGTTGAGGTTGATTGCGTCTGTTAAACGATGAGTGCAACAGCTGACGTCTGACTTTTTTTTGCTACCCGAAAATTGTTGTATTGTGCTTAGAGCATAACGAACTATGAAAACTTTCGCCTTGAGCGCTTTCTACGTATGATGGAATTGGTAATTGTGGCAGTGACGACAGTAACAGTTGCAGTAATGGCGATGGCGGTGACGCCATATTGGGATGACGCTTATTTGACTAATTAATTACTTAATATAAACTCTATTTGTTAACATAAACTTGAATTTTTAATAGAATAGCGAGAGATAGTTCTTGCGATAATCAGCGATTCGCATTTTTAAAATATCGGTGGAAATACCCAACAGAATACGCTTCGCACACTAAGTATACGCGTGACCTAAAGAAGAAGGCGGTGCACTTCAAAATAAATAAATTTTATTTATTTGTTTATTAAATCATAAATATTTGAACCTAATTTTGGAAAATATGCCTCAGCGACAAGAAAACATGAATGAAAATTTTATTACCTCGACAGAATAGACCTATTAGTAGAAATTGTACGTCCCTTCATTTGCTAGAAAAACATAAAGACAAATTGGAGGAGGAGCTAGGCCGAAAGCGGTTACAAAGCGCCAATTACATATTGTATATATATAATTCCGACTGATGACAAATCTTCTAATACCTTGATATGTGCTTACATCATTCATCTTGGGGTACTGGAATCCTGTGGTTTCTTCGCCACCTTCTTCGCTGGTCCACCTCCTTTATGCCCTTCGTAAAGTTTTAGAAAATTAATTCAAATAAAAAATTAAATTAAATTATTCTAGTTGTGGTGGGCCCCGGCAAGGAATGCCAAGCCAACCTAGTGTATTTCAGATCTGGAATAAAAGCTCTTCATAAAAAACCATCAGCCGTTCGCGGGCGGCTTAGTGTAAAGTCCCTCCATTTCTTGGAAAAACATCAAAACGCAAAACCACAATTTGGAGGGTCACTTGGCCAAATATTGTTTCAGCGGTTACAATTGATATTTTTTAATAAATGAAGAAATATGATTTTACGTACTGTTCTATTTCGAATTTTGAATAATAATTTTCTGAACATTGAGTTAAAGTTCGCGAAGAACTTCTACATACATACAAAGAATTTTGTTATGTGTGTTATTGCTGTTCGGGATGCTTGCTCCTATTAACTATGTGATTTTACTTGTTAGTTAGGCCCATTGCACGGTATTGTTTTATACTTGTATTGTGGTTCTTTACAATACAGTCATTAATTTTCGTTTTCTATTTTTGATGCTAAGGTGACGGTTGTTATTTATGTTAAGACTATTATTTAATGAATCATTTTAGCAACTTTGTCGCGGCATTGCGTGTATTTGGTGGCGGCTAATATTGGGCATCCGGATGTAATGTAGACTTGGGTTTCGAGATGTATTCAAGTAAATATTTTCCCACCTACTCTTTTGGGGAATATCACGTGCATGTAGGTAGTGTTTTTATTTTCCGTTAATTTTTTTCTGATGGTTGCATGTACGTTTTCCATTTTGTTCTACAAAATGAGTATGGCAGTAGTGATATTGCATAGGCGTTGACTGTTTTGAAAATATTTTGCAGCTGAGATATGATTTTAATCGTGTGTATGCTTGAAACCTGATACTGGAAACACTCACGAACGTGTCTGTAACCGCCGGCCGATTACCGTAGGTGTCTTCTACTTCTACATAGAAATAAAAATGTGAAAATTAGACCAATTTTCGCTAAGCACGCCTCGATTATTTCTCAAATCCTTCAAGAAAGATACCTGGTTTGCTTAAAGAAATTCCCAGGGTTTGTTGTACAATATCTTAATTGTAAAGAAACTAGCCAACGTTTATTTGTTACTCAATGACTTAAATTTGCTTTACTACAGACCACGACAAGCTTTACAATTCTATCATTACTATTTTCACACAGTATACTGACTCAACTCTGCAGTTTATTCCGTTGTACTCCTTAGCGATGTTGTCACTACCGAGTTTAGCTCGTAACTGATATTGCGTTGGCTGCTTTGTTATATACACAATTTTGTTGTTGTTGTAGAGACTGGTAAGTGTTGTCAAGTACTTGTCTGGACGCCGACCTGTCAAGCGGTTGTTGTACATATTTCTCTTTAAGTTGAGTGCTCCCTCTCTGAGGTGTATGGGCGAAAGTTCGGCTCGTACTAAATGTTTTTTGGTGCTACTCAACTCGTAGCATATATGCTTTACTGTGCAAGTGATGCTCTGGCGGCATAAGAAGGAGCAACAAGGGCTCAAGAGCCTTCAATACTGGTCAGAGGAGAGATATAGGCCCATTTTGCACATATCGCGTATTTTTAAATTGGTCAAAGATTGGTTGAGGATATCTGCTCCCGCTGGTCCTATGTATTAGGATGCTTATTCCGTTGGATGCTATGGATTTGGAGGCACTCAATTTTCCGATGACCCCCTCTACCTTTTTCCTAAAAAATCAAGCGTCGCACTAGTGCTCTTCTTCAGCTGTACGATTCCTCCCACCATCCTGTCTGGTGGAGCTCATCTTACGGCCAATGGCAAGATATCCTGGTATTCATTTCCGTACGAAATAATAGAGAGAATTATATTCGATTCGCGGTTTCAATTTATTTATGCAATTTTGCATGTTCTGAAAGGGCACATTCTTGAGGAAAGTAATTTTGCAATGAAATATTTTAAAATTTTTAATATTATTTAAGATTAATTGTTAGAGTTTGTTTTTTGCGGTCTTATAATGTTATAATTTATAATATATTATTTCGGTAGCGAATGTCAACCCCTCCGAGTGTATTTCTGCATTCATCGGAAAAACAGCAAGGCGCAAAACCAAAAATTGGAGGACGATCTCGATCGCTTCAGCCTTTACAAAGTGCCAATTATATATTAAATGTTATATAAACCGAATGACAAATTCAGAATTTCAGATTAGATTTGAGTTTATAAATAAATGGGGCGTTGCCAGTTGATATTTGTGCATCCTTGTACACACTTTTTGTCGAGCCCTTTCCTCGTGATCTGCACAGATATATATTGAAAGGGACTTTAGTATACGTGCAAGTA